AACAAGAAACATTGTTCAAAGACTAGATAAAGAAGAAAGGTCGTATGTACAGGTCATGAAATGATTTCAAGTGCAAGTGGGAATAAATAAGCACAAGTAAATCATTCAAAGACTAAAAAATTGCACAAGCCTGTACGGCAAGTGCTATTTGTAGTCTTTGAAAAATTGATGAGTGCTCATTTATTCCAATGTGCATGGAAAAAAATCACTTGATTACATGTTAATAATATGTGTACAATTTTATTTCAACTTTCTGCACTCAATTTCAATGCTTTGCACTCAATTTCAACTTCCTACACTGTTTTTGAGATAAATTGACATGCTCTCAGCCAATCAGTATGCCAAAAGTTTTGCATGTATATTAAAATAAAAAGATAACAGTATTATCCAAACACATATATATACCCTGTCGTAAGGTAATCTTCCCCAAAACAGCTGTATTATATGCATATATGACCAACCTGAAGTTTCATGACGTCACCACAAGCTGGAGCTCCAACCAGGCCAGTCCCTACACTCAAGTCATCCTTGTCCATAGATCCAACATTTCTTGNTTAAGCATGCTCATTATAACCAACATTACATTATTGTTAAAACCTGATCAACAAGAAACATTGTTCAAAGACTAGATAAAGAAGCAAGGTTGTACGTATAGGTAATGAAATGATTTCAAGTGCAAGTGGGGATACATAAGCACAAGTAAATCATTCAAAGACTAAAAAAATGCACAAGCCTGTACGGCAAGTGCTATTTGTAGTCTTTGAAAAATTGATGAGTGCTCATTAATTCCAAGGTGCATGGAAAAAAAATTACTTGATAACGTGTTAATAATATGTGTACAATTTTATTTCAACTTTCTGCACTCAATTTCAATGCTTTGCACTCAATTTCAACTTCCTACACTGTTTTTGAGATAAATTGACATGCTCTCAGCCAATCAGTATGCCAAAAGTTTTGCATGTATATTAAAATAAAAAGATAACAGTATTATTCAAACACATATATATACCCTGTCGTAAGGTAATCTTCCCCAAAACAGCTGTATTATATGCATATAGACCAACCTGAAGTTTCATGACGTCACCACAAGCTGGAGCTCCAACCAGTCCAGTTCCTACACTCAAGTCATCCTTGTCCATAGATCCAACATTTCTTGGATTTTCATAATGGTCAATAACCTATGGACATGTACCACAAAGCAAATATTTTTACAGCACATGCATCTGACAGCAGCTCTGTCTCTGTATTACACATCAGCTGTGGTGGTCTAATGGTTATTGTGCAGGACTCACTGATTGGGCAGTCCTTGGTTCAAGCCCTGGGGCTCATTTCTCGAAGGTCCCAAAAAGTTTTCACACCCGAAAAGTGTAGCAAAATCTCAAACCTTAAGACTACAGAGCTGTTTTATAAGCATATTCTTAATGTGAACAGAGGCTCTCTTCATACAAGAAGTTTCAGGCGTATACAACTCTCTGTCTTTAAATACTGGTTAACTAAAAGTAGCTTTGTGGGCCTGAAACGTTTCCAGGGCTTTTGAGAAATGGGCCCCTGGCCAGAGTCATAGCATTGTGTTCATGGACTTGACTCACATAGTTTAACACATATCAATTTTTAATAGTGAAATTTTATTTATAATCAAGCATGAAGAAAATAAAACCTATTTTTGGCAGGTTGACAGGTAACTTTGGGAATGACAGCACTCAGTTGTTGTTGAAGGTACGAAAAGAGTCTGAAAGTATGTTGGAGAGACGATTCATTAAATTGCCTCTCGAGTATGGATGTTTCAATTCAGAATCTCTGTTCTTTTAACAATTTAAAGCTCTTGTGATGATCCAAATTTGTTAATAAAATTCAGTTTTTCATCTTAATCTCTGCTTGACCATGTTGGGTTGTTTTTATTGTAAAACAGATAAGCAAATCACATTAGTTTTTCCTCCTACTGAAATTTTCAATGGCAGAGGCTTAATTTAGCTAAGACGACGATATGGTGATATACCCTGACAAAATGTAAGCTAATTATGACGCAAGATACAAGATGTGTAATAAGGGTTGACGTTAAGTTGTTCACTCCAAAACAGGCGAGACATTCACAGTACCTAGAGCTTTTTCTTGGAAATTTAAGACATAAGAAGGTTGTGGAAGGTTACTTTTCTTTACGCATGAGCCAAAAACCTGACTTAGCGCCTGCATGACTGTGCAAACATAACCAAACAACTTAACCTTGTTTACATTTCTGAAAACTGCAAGCACGAAAAAGGGGATTCTTCCGATCAACCTCGCAATCACAATAAGATAGCTTGTCTTTGAATGAACAAATTTTGGATGCCCTGAAACAAAGTATAAAAACGCGAACAAGTAATTAACCAGAGCTTGGTGAAAGTTCTAAACCGTACCAGTGCAATATAATTCGCGTTTCACGTGAGATCGACAACCGTAGCTATTTTACAACGCGTGAGGTTGAAAACAAAAGAAAATAACTCTTACATTCTTGTGGTAGAAAGCAACTGCAGCTCCTATCCTTGTATTAACTCCTAACTTTGCAGNACATGCTCTCAGCCAATCAGTATGCCAAAAGTTTTGCATGTATATTAAAATAAAAAGATAACAGTATTATCCAAACACATATATATACCCTGTCGTAAGGTAATCTTCCCCAAAACAGCTGTATTATATGCATATATGACCAACCTGAAGTTTCATGACGTCACCACAAGCTGGAGCTCCAACCAGGCCAGTCCCTACACTCAAGTCATCCTTGTCCATAGATCCAACATTTCTTGGATTTTCATAATGGTCAATAACCTATGGATATGTAACGCAAAGCAAATATTTTTACAGCACATACATCTAGCAGCAACTCTGTCTTTGTATTACACATCAGCCGTGGTGGTGTAATGGTTCTTACGCAGGACTCACTGATTGGGCAGTCCTTGATTCAAGCCCTGGTGCCCGTTTCTCGAAGGTCCTGAAAAGTTTTTGCACCTGAAAAGCTGTAGCAAATCTCAAACCTTAAGACTACAGAGTTGTTTTATGCACATATTCTTAATGTGAACAGAGGTTCTCTTCATACAAGAAGTTTCAGGGGTATACAACTCTGTCTTTAAATACTGGTTAACTAAAAGTAGCTTTGTGGGCCTGAAAAGTTTCCAGGGCTTTTGAGAAATGGGCCCCTGGCCAGAGTCATAGCATTGTGTTCATGGACTTGACTGACATAGTTTAACACATATCAATTTTTAATAGTGAAATTTTATTTATAATCAAGCATGAAGAAAATAAAACCTATTTTTAGCAGGTTGCCAGGTAAATTTGGGAATGACAGTCCTCAGTTGTTGTCGAAAGTAAGAAGGAGTCTGAAAGTATGTTGGAGAGATGATTCAGCGAATTACCTCCTGAGTGATAGATGTTTTAATTCAGAATCTCTGTACTTTTAATAATTTAAAGCTTCTGTGATGATCCAAATTTGCTAATAAAATTCAGTTTTTCATCTTAATCTCTGCTTGACCATGATGGGTTGTTTTTAATATAAAACAGATAACCAAATCACATTAGTTTTTCCTCCTACTGAGATTTTCAATGGCAGAGGCTTAATTTAGCTAAGACGACGATATGGTGATATACCCTGACAAAATGTAATCTTATTATGACGCAAGATACAAGATGTGTAATAAGGGTTGACGTTAAGTTGTTCACTCCAAAACAAGCGAGACATTCACAGTACCTAGAGCGTTTTCTTGGAAATTTAAGACATGAGAAGGTTGTGGAAAGTTACTTTTCTTTACGCGTGAGCCAAAAACCTGACTTAGCGCCTGCATGACTGTGCAAACATAACCAAACAACTTAACCTTGTTTACATTTCTGAAAACTGCAAGCACGAAAAAGGGGATTCTTCCGATCAACCTCGCAATCACAATAAGATAGCTTGTCTTTGAATGAACAAATTTTGGATGCCCTGAAACAAAGTATAAAAACGCGAACAAGTAATTAACCAGAGCTTGGTAAAAGTTCTAAACCGTACCAGTGCAATATAATTCGCGTTTCACGTGAGATCGACAACCGTAGCTATTTTACAACGCGTGAGGTTGAAAACAAAAGAAAATAACTCTTACATTCTTGTGGTAGAAAGCAACTGCAGCTCCTATCCTTGTATTAACTCCTAACTTTGCAGCGTTCGTCAAACCCCGAGTAAAAAGCGCCATGTTGTTCTTCTTATGCAACAGCCTTCCTGACAAACTGACGATCAATCGATTCTGCACGTGAGTAACCCATAATACTCTATCTCTGATGATGTAACATCGAGGATGCTGCCTAGGCCCAGGCCCCGCGCCTGCAGTGGTCAAAAATAATATTTCGCGCAAAAATCCACTGCGGTCTACCTCATCATGAGAACATTACTTTACGGTATCCCATCGTTGAAAATTTTTGGCGCCGACACCTATAAGCTTACGTATCGTAAAAGAATGTATACACGCGAAGCCAGTGGGTTAAATTTATCTGATGTAAGAAATGTGCCAGGGCAGAGGGTGTGACTTTAGGTTACCAAGCAAACGCCTGCACGAAATCATGGTAGTCGTATTCATCGTCTAGAAGTGGGTATTTGTTTTGATGATTTAACACGGCTATCATGATTCATGCCATAGAGGGAATTGGCCATTGATCATCTCCTTTCTCCTATACGGCCTACTACCCAAAATTTACGCACATCCCTTGATCATAAGGGAAAACCAACTAGGTCGTTCCGCTGTTTCTTGGTCTTACTTCTGCTGAGTGTGTTTAGTCCAGTTCTAGCCACCTGTCTGCCACGTAACGCCACATGTAAGAGCTAGACCAGGTGTGTGTCAGGACGAGAGGTCCTCTTTGATACCTTTGCTACACCTTTATATCAGCAGCAATGGTATACAGCTTTTGGTTGTTGGGACCAATGCAAGCTGAAATGGTTTATTTTAGAAAGAGTGATATTGTTTAAGAGCTCTTTATTGGCCTTAAGGATATTACACAACATCTTCAGTGCAAGAATGTTAAATTTTATTTCTGCTGATGATTCTATCAATAACCATAACTTTCCAACACTTCATTCACAGACTCCAGCTCATCTGCTTTGTCTTGCTCAGCCTTCTGTTTTAGTTTCTGAAAATAAAAATAAAAGAAAGTAAGAAAAAGTAACATTACAAAATGATATATTTCCTGGTTTTGAAAGAACAAATAAATAAGAGGAGTAACAGTTTTTCTGAAACTTTCAGAACCTCTCATGTTTACATATAAAATAAATAAAGTAAATCTTCTTCTACATGAGACTTTTCGGAGGTTAAAATGTTTTAAAATGCATTGTTTTGGGCAGTTTTACTGCTCTTCTTCAGGCAATGCAGCTCCAGCTACGTTCCAAAGTCCACCATATTCAGCTGGAACTACAGTGCCTGAAAAAAAAAAAAAACACAGGAAAAACTAACAGCCTGAACCAAGCCCGAAGAGGAGAACAGATGTTATTTCTCACCTGGAGTTTCTTCTTATGTTCGTAGTACACAGCAGCTTTAGCCTTGCGCTTCTCTTCCAGGGTTTCAAGAACATCCTAAAACACACAAAATAATTATGTCTAACTGTGCACTTGAAAGTGCAGTTTGCCAGCAAAGTTAATAACAAACAGCAATCACTTACATTCACCTTATCAGCAAACAGCAAAGATAGATTGGTGGGAATTATGTGAGACAGGTATAATTTATTATTGACTAAAAATACTGCCACTATTAAAACCAACCTTGTACTTCCAGCCAACCTCATGTGAGAGTCTTCCCAGCACACAATACTGCAATGGGAAACAAATTATGTATAAAAGACTTCCATAGGAGAAAATTGAAAAAATAAATTAAATAAAGTTATNAGCTGCTGCATGTCCCTTCATGTGAAAAGAAAATAATTTTGTCACAGAAACATGTGCCTGTACAGTGGAACCCTGCTTTAGCAAAACCTTGTTAATATGACCCCATTGTTGTTTTGGCACTTTTCGTTTGGCACACAAAAAAGCTCAGTCATTATTTCTTATCCAAGAACTCCTTTAACATGGTCACCCAGCAGAAATGAAAAGATCTGGTGGCCCATCATCAATGGGCCACTAAATCAAGGGGTCCACTGCATTCTTAAGAGACTTTAAAACAGTTATTAGCCAGACAGCAAAAATAACACCAACCAAAAAAATAAAATATTTACCTCTAACTGTCCTCCATACAATTCTGCTTGGAGCACGGAAATGGAATGGTCCCCTGCTTGGCTTAGTATTAGTTCGCTTCCTTAAGAAATCAAGGTACTTTACTATGAAATCAAAAACAAAACATGAGGTCAAGAATTTCTTTAATCTGTTACAATTCAGCATTCAAATCATTACAATCTCAACACTAAAACAGAAGTTTGCATTATTTGAACTTAGAGCATTTGTTGGATGCTAAAAATCCCTTGCATGCATTGGATAAATGTGGCAGGTATAACCTTGGAGACCTGAAAAAGGTTTCTCTCTGTTCCCTAGTGTTAGCAAAAAGCTACAAAAACCTTTGCCCAAATTTCATTGTCTCAGACCCACAGGCTTGGTGCCCAATTTCTTTAAAGAAAGGCGTCTGCAGAGAGTCGTAATTTGGGGAACAGGGATGTCACAGTGGTGAGAGTGCTCACCTCCCACCAATGTGGCCTGGGTTCAATTCTGCCCAGGTGCCACATGTGGGTTGAGTTTGTTGTTGGTTCTCGCCTTGCTCTGAGGGTTTTTCTCCGGGTTATCCAGTTTTCCTCCCTCCACAAAAACCAACATCTCCAAATTCCAATTTGACCAGTATAGAGGACCTGCATGAAAACCAGCTAAGGCTGATGTGGCTTCCTCTCTAAGCATTGTAATTTATTTATCTTTTATTTATCATAACCATCATGGTAGCTGTATTCACCAAAATATGTCCAATACACTTGGCAACCTTGATTACAACTACCCTGTTCCTCTGCCGCAACTTCTCAGAGAGAAAATTGGACATTAAGAGTGGTGCACTGATTGTGCATCATTGAATATCCACAACACAAAGGCAACTTACACTTGTTTCTATAGAAGCTTCCACTGATGTTCACTTGCTCACAGCGGACAACAATTATTCTTTGCCCTGTAGAAACATTTGCAGATTGTGGTCAATAATTTTATTGTCCGACACAAAATCTGAATCATCCATACTTAAAAAGATTCAAGCCAAGGGCAACTTTATTTTAGACTGGAATAATTATGTGGAATGCAAGGAATACCTAAAACGTGAACCTTGTTTACCTACTTTTGAAAAGGAATCTGCATAGAACTTTCAATTCTTCATTTCTTGTCTGGCAAATCGAAATTCCTAACTCCTTCCTAATCTTGAAAAATTTAGTGAATATACTTGCTCTACAAACGTGTTTTGAATCAGTGTTCCCGATTCTTACCCTTCCCAGTTCCAAACTTGAACAGAAAATTCAGTTATAAGGCTCTATTAAAAAAGATGAAGTCCAAGTCAGACTTGTAATAATCATCGAAAAAATAGTATAGAACCGTAGTTTCTTACCAGTCAACAGGCTCTTGGCAATGGTGGAGGCTAAACGGCCTAACAGATGGCCCGAAGCGTCGATGACAATTGACTGCAATTGCAAAGAAGATTCTTCTTATATCAACAAGTAACAAACGGGGCAGCCTTAAAGGCTTTAGTACTTTATAGTGATTAGCGACAGAGTTTCCCACATGTTGCTCGAGAAGTTCTTACGATTTCAGCTTTATTTCAATTTGGCAATACCGCCGCATCTATGCAGTATTTTGCGGTAATAGACGACATCGTACAGAGCCAAGTATTT